GTGTGTGTGTGTGTGTGTACCGTACATTGCTCAATGTTTTTTTCCCTAACCATTGTATGTTTTGTATGAACATTTATTTACAGTAAATGCCACTGTTTGTAGGGTGAGCCTCTAAAAGGTTAATAAAAACAAATAACAAGACCTTAGCAAAACATTAACGTAAGGCTTCTCCATGGTGTGTTGACCACAACAAGAGTTAGTCAGCCTTGGTCTTGGTTTTACAAAAGAGACTTGCTGGTTCTCCAGTGATAACTTTGCATGAACTGAGAGTCAATTTGGACAAGATGAGTGTGAATAACATGGCAAGATTTGTACCATTGAGACTATAATTTCTGGGCCACCAAATCCTTAAAAACCATTTTGTAAGACAGCCAACTTGTATAATTGGTTTGGTTTAAGGGAATGGCACAACTGAGTATCATATGTGTTACAATGCTGAGAGAGAAAAAATACTAATATGTCCAAGTGGAAACAAATGAAAGGAGGAAATGCTTGATGTTATTAAGTCTCTAGGGATGAGACTGAAGCCCCATCTAATGCCACCTGGCCCCAACAATAATGTGATCAGCATCAGAATCAAAAGCAGCACTTAAATCAGTGCTGGTTAGATCAGCAGTAAGATAACTGAGCTCTCAGCAGCATCACTACACATAAAAAAAAAAAAAAACATTTGAGACCCTTGTGACTGACCAAATCTCATTTTCTCATTAGGAGGCCTTCTTATCTGTCTGCCACGAGAGCAGGCCGCCCGCTTCTGTGCCGAAATCAAATCCCCAAAATACGGCGAGGGCCACCAAGCGTGGATCATCGGGATTGTAGAGAAAGGAAACCGCACTGCTCGCATCATTGACAAACCGCGGATCATAGAGGTGGCACCACAAGCAGCCACGCAGAATGTCAACCCAACTCCTGGTGCAACTTCTTAATCCTCCTTTGCTGCATCATAGACCGGAAACCCCAAAGCTCTGCTGAGTGATTTTAAACACATAAACTACAAAACCATCCTAGAGTGTTGAAATATATACACAAAATAGTATGTACACAGAAAAGACTGGGTTGGCGTGTATCTACATGAGAAACAGCCCCACACAGTGGCCCAAGGGGCATGTCATCACCCAGTGGACTCAATCTGCAGTATCCCCATGATAAAAATGGTTAAGAAATAGAGCATACTTAAAACCCATTTGCCTTTTGTGTCTGTTGTATTCTGTTCTGGGTTCTATGTTAAATGTGTGTGATTGGCAGGCAGCTTCTGATAAGAGAGTGATGATGACGACAATAATCTGATACTGTTGATTCATTTTGAATCTTAGGAAGTCTGGTTTGGTTACCTCTTTGGGTCTTTTAAAATTGCTCTCATCAAGCAAGTGGACTGTGTGATGGTGTTTTTGTTTGTCCATTCACTTTGTACAGTTATAAAGCCTAGTTTTAGTTCATTGCTGTAACTGATGCCTTGAAAGAAAGAAGTGTGACCAGAAAGGTTTGTTTTTTATTACTTTGACTTTTTGTATTGTCCCCACCTAAACTAATAAATATTCAAATAGAAGTTTGTTTTGCCCGCTATCTGGGAACTGCACTCGTGTGAATAAACTAAATCAAATGTGACCTTATCGACTTGCCATCATAGAACTGCAGATTGATCTGCAGATTTTTACATTGGTAATTGATGCTACTCCATTGTGCATTAACTTGAAGTCATAGATGAGGATAAATCTGCATACCCCTCGGGAGATGAACCTTCTACCATCTGCATTCCCAATATGTTATCATGTTTAGGGTGATATGATGTATGGGGTTTGCATTACATGGTCACTAAATTGTGCAACTATAAAAAGCAGTCTGGGTTGTTAAGCATTGTAATAGCAGGCAGTCAGCCTGTTGCCTTTGTTTAAAATATGGTGCATTTAGTTTTGCCATAAGATGTGCTGAGACTGATGTACTGTTATGAAGCTTCCATCTAATTTCAGATCATTTTTGTTTACCAATAGCCTGGATGGATCTGGAAGGCCTCTGTAAATGTTCATTTGAATATCAGGAATAAGACCTCCACCACACCTCTTAAAATAAACTTCTCTTATAATAGATTGTTTTTCTGTGTCTGTTTTTAGATGTATTAAAGGTGTTTATGCAAAATGTGTAAAAGATGGAAAATAATTGTTAGCAAGTTTACCAGTATGATTAATTAATTTAATGATTTGTATGTCTACATTTGATTAATTTCACAAAAGCTGCTGATGGTGAGCTGTAGATAATAAGTCTAAAATGATATTTAATGGAATTAAATGGACACAGAAATCATAAATAATAGCAAGTAACAAAGGATTTATATTTTCAAACAGTTCTGAATTATTTAAGCAGATATATTTACAACTTCCATATGCACAGACCATAGAGCATATATAAAGATTATATTTTGATTTATTACATTACATTAGATTTATATACAGTCTATGGCATAAACTGACTGACTTTCAATAATGGAGTAACAACCTAAATTCCCAATAAAGATCATTCTCAGCACAAAAAAAAAAAAAAAACTGAAAAGAATGATATAAATAGAAATAATTTAGAGGAGTAACAACTATTCCTTTTGTCTGACAGAGTGGAATGACCCACCAGAAAAGCAAAAAGATTATAGGTGCAACCTATCACCAGAACGTTGTTTTGACAAAGAGCCAAATGCAGCCTACCACCCAACAGCATCTGCTATATGTGCTTTTTCCCATTTTCCAGGTGTACATGCTTTGAATGCTCAACTGCCTTCTTGTCATTCTCAGGTTTGAAAAGTGCTTGGATATCAACCATGGCCTTCCAGATGTGCTGACCAAACCGGTATGAGTCCTGCAGATGACACGAAAAAGACAATAACAGAGAGAGAGAGGGAGAGAGAGAAACGGAGTGTTGAGTTTTAAATGCTAGCACTGAAATGGTGTACAGATGAATCTATAGGCACTTATGTTGTGCTCTTACTGTGTCAGGGCTGGAGAACTTGCTGGAGATGTGGAATGTGATGAGATTTTCCCCAACAATTATATAAGACACACCATAACCATCATCAGCAACCTGGGGGTAGACAAGACATACTCATATATTATTGTTCAAAACTCTCCTAGATCAGGACAGGATGAAATGTTAAGACTGCGTCACTCTAACTCACTGGGCCAAATCCACCACCAGCACCCACATATTGAGGGAACTTGTTGATGTCAACTAAATTAAGCTGCTGCTGTGGAGTCTGGCTGGTGGACAACTTCCAGGGCTCTGAAAGTACCTAGAAGCAAACACATTGAATGTATAAGAAAGGTTGTAATAGATAGCTTAAGAGAAAATTGTGAATCAGACACCAAATATAAATAAAAGAGAGATAATACATTATGATAGTTCTAACCTTCGTAAGAAATGGCGAGTCAACACCAAGGTATTTGGACACAATGTAGAGACAGAAGAGGTGACGGTCGATACCAGAACCAGTCATGGCTAGACGATACATGTTTTGATGCTTATCTGCTGCCTTCCGAAATATGGCAAGTCTCTGGGCATTCTGATCACATAGGGACAACAAATTGCATTCAGGCACATACAAATGACATTAACAACATATCAAAATGACCCTGAGTGTCAGTTTAAATTGTCAGAACATCAGGCAGTTCAGAGTCCAGGGCACTGACATGCAGAAACCCATTGCCTCTAGGTCTTGGTGACCAAGTCCTAAGCAGCAAATTGTGACCTATTACAGTGTGCCCTCTCAAAATGTGACCTTTCATACCATGACACTTATAACCAGTGGCGTGCACGGGGGGGGAGTCGCCCCCCCTTGTGGCCCAATTGTTGAAAAATGCATGCTAAAGTGCCCTCTTGGGAGGCAAAACATGTGTTAAAGTGCCCTCTTGGGAGCCAAAACGCGTGCTAAATTGCCCTCTTGGGAGCCAAAACGCATGCTAAAGTGCCCCCTTGGGAGCCAAAATGCGTGCTAAACTGCCCCCTTGGCAGCCAAAACG